CGAAAATGGGCCGAATACATCAGGAACGGTTGCTGAAAGTATAGAAAGAATGAAATCTAGAGGATGGAAACCGATTGGTAAACCATTGAATTTTATTCCGAATCCACCAGCAAGTTACAATGCTATTCTCGTGCCGTATCCAGTATCGACAGTACTCTATAAGAATATTGTCACGGCAATGGAAACTATAAACGGAGCACGAGTTATTTCGATTGAACAAATTAAAAATCCTGATATTGAATCATTATATGAATATATGAAAAAACCAATATCGAAAGAATGTCGAGATAATGATCCCAATGAACGAGAACTATATCATGGAACGAGCGGCGATGTTGTTGAAGGAATCATCAATCGAGGATATGATGATCGACATTTTTCGAATACAGGAGCATGGGGTATGTTATCAAGAATTTTTATTTCGTTAATTTACGATTAGAATAAAATACACTTAATATTTTATGTGCACATACTCTCGTTCTATATGTGTTGTTGTTTAAATAACAGTTAATTAACAAGATATTTTCTATTGTCAGGACATGGTGCTTATTTTGCTGATGATCCTCGAAAATCGAATGGTTACGCGAATCCTGATCCAAAAACAACCCGACGTGTTATTTTCTACAACAAGGTTTTATTAGGTATTGAATCGATACAAACTGAGACAGATGCTACATTGACTGCAGCACCAATCGGTCATCATTCTTTTCATGGTGCTGGAGGTTGGCCAGGCTTTCAATTTCATGAATACATCGTTTATCGATATGGTCAAGCGTTGCCTTATCTGAAAATTACGTATACAGCGTCTTCGTAAAATGAATAGGACATGATGAATTTTCAATCAGGCTTACCAGATCTTCAGACATGACAGAAAAATTGCGAATTTTAAAATTTTTCTACATTTTATCTTTACTATGATTTTCACTGATATGTCTTTGTCATTTCCTTTCTTCTAAAACTATTGGATAGCATATAATTTGTGATAGGCTGAATATATTTTATTCATGAAAAAAGTATTTGAAATAAACAATATTCTTTAACATAAACTAAATCTCAAGTTTGAAAGAAGATTGTAGAAAAGAAAACGGCAATTCAAACTTATTAAATGGCTGGGATGACTCGAGTCAAGTCAGAGTCTTTAAAAAAAAGATGCGAATCGAACTCATCCAATTTAACATAAAAGTTGTTCTAACACTATACATCCACATCAGGATGGCCAGATCGAAAATTCAAAATCAGAAATTGATCAGAAAGATCATTTTTTTGGTGAAATAGCGACTCCTGTATTAAGATGATACCACTAAGTACTCCATTTTGAATGTTTCATCACTATAAAGATGAATACTTACCAATGGATAATCAATCTTTACGAAAAACTTTCTTTTTTCTTTATTTTTCGAGATGATGTTGCTGCTGTTAATTAATTTACTTTGCTTAGTTTCTCTTCGAAATCAAGTTCAACCATATTAATATTGTCTATTAGATAATTTAGTTTTTATTTGTGGGATGATCTACAAGGCGAAAATCTCGAAATCAAGAAAATAAATTTATCAAATCCTAGTATATGGCTGTAGCTGAAGTTGTCTATATAATTTTTTCAGAAGATCCGACCACCCACACCCTCAAGTTGAAGCTGACTCGTCAGCTAAAATCTATCATGTGAACTTTGTTAAAGATGTTCTTAGTACACTTCAAGTCTGTTCACGTGTAACAACCGATAGTGAAATTGTAATAAGTTACCATAGAATAGAAAAGTGATACATTGGATAATAATGAATTTAATTGTTCCATTCCAAGTGAGCAAAAAAATAGGGAGGATGGGCGACATGACTAGTCCAAAAAGTCTGCTATACCTGTCAAGTCTAGTCTAATACGTCTTCCATATCTATTGTGACTAGTCTGTACGTCCTTTTATCCGTTTGGACCAGAGACCGAAACCGATGACAAAAGTGACATTCGATTCGATTCGGCTTTTTAGGACTGTGATTCGATTCGATTCGGGTTTTCAGCCCTTTTAAAAATTGCAATTCGATTCGATTCGGGTTTTCAGGCCTTTTAAAAATTGTAATTCGATTCGATTCGGCTAAAAACACGAAAAAAATCGATTCGATTCGATTCGATTCGACTCAAATTGGGTTTATAAAAACATTGTGTTCGCTGTTGCA